CTGCCTGCCCCCCAAATCCAGGCCCCCTTCCCCACCCACCCCCTCCCCAGACTGAGGAGACAGCTCTCCCCGCTTCCCCTACTCTTTCTCCCCAGGGCTGCAAAAGGCAGGACCCCTTTTCCTTTCTCCTTCCCCTTCTCTTCCCCCGTGCCCTGCAGCCAGTTTATCCCTCCTCCTGACCCTTTCCAAGAGGCACGACTCCCCTCTACCTCTCTCCGCAGGCTGGCTTTAGACAGAGCCCCCCACCTCATCCCTTACCCCCTTCCCCTTTCTCTGGGCTGAAGGATGCAGAATCTCCTCCTTCCCCCTTTGCACGGCTGTAACATTTACCTACATGCAGCCAGGTGGGGAGGGGGGTGGGTCATTCAGCCCCCTGGAATAAATGCAAAGGAAACCACCACATTTCCAGGTTTGCTGCTGATCAGGGCTCCCTAGGATCTTAGCAATAAAGTGGCTGTTATTGCAACCCCTCTAGTCTTTGGGAAGCCCATGCCTTCCACACTAATCATTCTCCCTCTTTTCACAATGCAAAACAACCCCTGGATCAGATACTTGCTAGCAAATGAGTCCCATTTGCAGCAATCCCACTTGGTCTCCACAGCCTGATCCTTTTTCCATGTGCATCACACACATACACACACACACACAGTTCCTCAAGAGGTGTGTCTGAGACACTTTCTGTTATGTTCTAACATATTGGAAAAAGACTACATCATTTTTTAAATAGACCCCATCCTTTGTGAGTATCCCTTGATGAAACATAAGGTATAAAATCCTGTAAAGTGCTCCCTGCAGAGAGAAATGCTTGATGCCCCCTCAGTGAGCACAGCTGACCAAAGATATTCCTCATGTAGGGTCTTCCCCCCCCCCCTTGCTTCTTTCCTTCCCATCAACTCTTAGAGAGAGTGCTTTCTCCCATGCTTTCGTGTTTGATAGCATCCTTTTCAAACACAGCAGGCAGGGGTCTGTCTTTGATTGCTGGTGTTCCTGAAGAGGCATGCATTTGTACTCTGCTATACCATATATTACTTCTATTAAGGTAATGCCCACAGGCCAACTGAGAATGTGATCCCACTGTGATGGGCATGTTAGAAATAAAGAATAACAGCCAGTGGCTGCATTCAAATGATTATTGCTAATGCTAGACTGATATATATTCAAAGGATATAAGTATATAAAACAGGAGACAAGGACACGAAACACTGTGAAACGTCACGCTTACTGGCTTCTATGCCTTGGAAAAACCAGGAATTTATACCCTATTTTAACCCTGCTTCAGCAGGCAGCATTTCAGAGTGAAGTCAAAGCAACATGCCTTCATAAACTTTCTTTGTCTTTTGCAGGAAGTGGCTTCCTTTACCTGGTGATACTATTATTACTATACTTAATTGTAACTGAAAAGCAAATCAGTGGTCACTTAATCGGCAGTCAGTCCATCTGTCTCACCTGCAGGCAACTCCTCCCATTTCCCCATTTCCTGATGTCACTGACTGGAGGTACTCTAAGGCCTGATTCAAACAAAGCCCCCTGAAATTGATGGAAAGTCTCTCATGAATTCTAATGGCTTTTGCTCTGGTGCTACTGATGATTTGAAGATACAGTTTGGCTCCAAGTCAACTTATCTTGTTCAACAATT